CTGCTATGATGTTCTTTTCTCGACGAAAGAGAAGCTATTGCTCAAATGTATCACTATGACAAACCCTCAAGTGTCACAGATAGCACCAGGTTATGACAGAACCAGAGCTTGCTATCAACTAATTTCTGTCACGATATATTTTTTTTTCGCGCGTTTCCATTCACTACCGGATAATTAACCCGGAACTTAATTAAACTTAAACTCACAACCCTGTACCATAGTCACGAACCATAACCCCTGCTACACTTGTTGGGTTTAAACGCCCCTGTTCCCTCTCTCCCTCCAAAATCATTACACCCCCCCCCCCCCCCCATTTAAGTTGTAGACAGCCAGCCATGTGATGTTTATTACATTGTTATGGTTTGCTAACAGGCTAAGAGGAACGAATTATTCTCCAATGTCTCGCAAGGTAAGATTAAAAAAAAAACACTCCACACATACAAACCAAAGCTTGTCTGGATTCACATTTTATTTTCTTCTCTTTCTTATTCGCCGAGTTAACTCAAGAAAGAGGAGGGGGGAGAAATTTTTTTTTATCCCCCTTGATAGCCACAACAAGCAGGTTAATGAAGGCGAAGAGATACCTCATCAGGCATGGGTGAGATACCTCACCGGCATCCTGGTTATGGCTTGCATAAAGCGGAGAAGTAAAAACAAAATGTGCATGTTTTTTTGTAAAGGTCTGGTTGAGCATATTGCCGGGTCAGTTTAGACCTGGGGATTTTTATTTCGTTCCAGGAAATTGAAACCGTAAGACCAGATCTAATCATGAAACATATGACCTCGCTAATTTTAACACTCATGACGCACCTTATTAAGATAATTATGATTCCATCTCATTTAAAAAGCTTAACACAACCTATAATTTAATTATTTTTTTTTAATTTTGAGACGTACAACTCACTTTAATTAAGAAACTATTGTTCTCTTCTAATCATGAAACTTGCAATCCTCTCGATTTATACAACGTAGGAACCTTTTCAATTATGAAAAGAACGATCCACTAATTAAGAAATAAATGACCCCCCCCCTCTTGTTATAAAAAGCAGGACCCCTTCTAATTATGCAATGTACGACCCCTCTGATTGAAAAATATATTACCCCTCTCCTGTTATGAAACTTAAAACCCCCTCTAAATGTTAAATGTACTAACCTTCTAAATTTGAAACATACCCCCCCCCCCCCCCCCACCGTCACCTCCCTTATTACGAAACTAATGAATCTACTAATTACAAAATATATCCATCTTTGTACCCAACACGTAATCGCGATGAGAGCTTATTAATTAATCACAGGAAGAGGCAATAACGGTAAGCAGTTTTAAACACCTAATCAAACACAATTTAACGGTAGCAATTTTAAACACCTAATCAAACACAATTTAACGGTAATGGTTTTAAACACCTAATCAAATATAATTTAACAGTTGCAGTTTTAAGCATCTTATCAAACACAATTTAACGGTAGCAGTTTTAAACATCCAATCAAACACAATTTAACCGCAGCAATTTTAAACACCTAATCAAACATAATTTAACGGTAGCAGTTTTAACGCCTTATCAAACACAATTTATAATCATATACCGGAGAAACTTCAAGGTGCCGGTTTGCAGATTTTGGATGCCGTCCAAAATTTGATTTTTATAGTCAAGTAGTAAATTCTCAGTGCAGTTTTGAAAACGCTTGGGTGGGGGTTAGAGCAAATCAGCTCCATGGCCAAGATATACGCGCACGAATTTGACGCTCTGATAATAGCGAATTTTATTATAGTCATATACAAGAAGCGCTATCATAATATTTTTTTTTATTCTAAGATTATTTCGTTGTAAGCGCAATTTTCGTCGCGTTTTTTTTAATATATACGGATGCAAATTTTCAAGATGGCATTTTTTTTTTTAGTTTTCAGGTTGTTATTTTATAATTATAACACCGAGCGATATCTCATGCTTGGATTATTATTTTTTCGCCAATGACGTTTTTTTTTCTGAACCGAAAACTTCAGCGGAAGAAAAAAACAACTCGCGAAGAATTACAACCGAATTTCCAGCGTTTCAAGTAAAATGCTGGCGATAGTTATTTTAAATTTTTTTTTTTGGTTGAGTTTCATTTAAATGGACATAAACTACTTCCGTGAACATAACATGAAGGTATATGTATAGGGACGTAAGTAGCTTCATAGTACAACTGAAGCGTTGGGGATTTTTTTCCCCAAAGGGAAATAACCATCACCATGGGACGTAACCAAGAGGTATATGTTATTTTAACGTTAGAAGGGATGTAAGTATCTTCTTGGTACTACAGGGACATAGGTTACTTCAAAAGGACATACTCAAAGAAAGTATAGGTTACTTATAATGGACTTGAGTTTTCTACATGGTACTCTAAGAGGCCAAAGTTACTTTAAAGGGACGAAACCCACTTCAGGGGACATAACGTTAAAAAAAGTTCAACATTAATGTAGGGTACATAAAAATTACTTCAAGAAAAGAAAAAAAAAACGAGAGAGGATTTTCAAATACACACATGAGCACCCGGGTGGTTTAGGTTTTATGACCTCCCCTTGGTATGTAGATTTTTGTATGAAATAACACGTTTTAGCAGGATTAGATAATTAGCCGGCTAAACCGGCAAAGACAGGCTTCAGGTTGGAACCGGCGTGGAGGTGGGGGAGGGGAGGGAAGAAGAAAGCTTAAGTACATGTCATAACATGGGGAAGACGAGCAGTTCTGACATCCCGGAGTGCTGGGGTCTGCCCCGTGTCACGTGTTGGGAGGGGGGGGGGGGTGGGGGGTGGGATTTGTTTTAGTTGAAGGTCGGGGGTGTTAGGGGGAGGCTGAGGGGTGGGGTGGAAGGAGAGAGATGATTGGGGTGGGGGGGGGGGGGGGGAGGGGCAACATTCCCTCTAAGAGGAAAAGTCTAGTGTGCAACTTGTATATTGTGTGCGCGGTGTTCTAAAAGTCTTAAAGATTTTTGTATTTTACAAAGGACTGCGCGGCAGGGTCAAAACTATTGCGCGGCCGCGCAACCGCGCAGCTTAGAGGGAGCCCTGGGTGGGGGTATATTGAAGGGTGGGGATGGAGGGCTAGAGGTGATTGGGGTGGGGAGGGGAGGTTGAATGGAGGGGGAGATGTGGGTTAGCGTAAGATGGGAGATTGGGGTAACAGATGTATGACAAGAAACCTATAAAAATGTGTGACTAACTACTTTAAGGAAGAATTATGTAGGTATTTACTTCTACCTATTCAGGCTTTCAACACAGGTTTAAAAAAATAACCTAAGCTCTCCACAACAAGAACATATGTTTTTACCAACGTATACAAGCATAAGGGTCGACAGTAGCCTGGTACCATACAGCGAAATAAAATAAAAGCGGGTCTAAATATATGTACATGCATAATAGAGGAGACTACTTAGCTACAGTAATAAGCAGTTAAACTACTTTATTGTCTGCCCGTGTTAAATGCCATAGGTGTGCCAGAATTTTAGCGGAAGTTGCCGCCTCTGGCACTCCAGCACAGGTGGGACAAGGTACCTGTTGCAGGGTCTGGCATTGGCCAGGTAGACAAGAGTAAGGCGCTAGGGATATTTCACAGTAGTCAAGTCTTTAGAGAGGTTTTACGAAAGTTTCAGTTTCACACTAGCCAGTAGTCAAGTCCTAAGAGAGGTTTTACGAAAGTTTCACACTAGCCAGTAGTCAAGTTTTGAGAGAGGTTTTACGAAAGTTTCACACTAGCCAGTAGTCAAGTTTTGAGAGAGGTTTTACGAAAGTTTCAGTTTTACACTAGCCAGTAGTAAAGTTTTGAGAGAGGTTTAACGAAAGTTTCAGTTTTACACTAGCCAGTAGTCAAGTTTTGAAACAGGTTTTACGAAAGTTTTACACTAGCCAGTAGTCAAGTTTTGAAAATGTTGAAAAATCAAAACTAATTCCAAGAGTTTCAAACTCGCGGTCGTAGCTGATTATAGAGCTAGTATGTCTGGCTGAGCTCTATCTAGAAAACTAGACCTCACCCTAACCTGAAACTAGTTATTATAATAGTCCACTAGCCCTGAGCCTAATCCTAACAGCAAAAATTTTTAATACATGCTCACCATGTAAGCTAACTTGGTTACCCAAAAAAAAAAACAAAGAAAAAAAAAACAACAACAACCGACACCCGTGTTTTTCCTCTACAATAAGCCAAAGTTGTATATACAAAGTTCCACCTATCTTTTTAGTAGTTCTACCCTGTGTCGAGTTAATCAATGCTAAAATAATTGTAGACTAGACCAGGTTTATGCCCGACGTATTACTGATAACTGCCGTGTACGGCTATATTCTCTTATCGACTTCCCGACTGCTGTACCACCGACAAATGGCCTGAGCTAAAGGGCTGAGGAAGGGGGCAGGGTGCTTTTTTGTTGTGTTTTACACGAGTAATAGGCGAAAGATGCAATATAAAAACATGTAATGATATTAGCATAATTTATACGCATTAGATATGGTGTCTTCATCAGATTTAATATAAGTACCAATAAGAGTACAACAACAGCTAAAATAAAATAATAATATTTATACTTATATTAAAGTAATAAATTTATAAAATTAGTAAAATTAATAAAATATTATAATAAAATAAAAACGTATAATTAATAAAATTAGTAAAATTAATAAAATATTATAATAAAATAAAATAAAAAAGTATACAATTATTATTATTATTATTATTATAATTAATATTATTATTGTTATTGTTATTATTATTATTATTAATAATAATAATAATAATAATAATAATAATAATAATAATAATAATAATAATAATAATAATAATAATAATAATAATAATAATAATAATAATAATAATAATAATAAAGAAATTAAGGTAAAAAATTATTACGATATTTATTGTGTTTGTGATAGTAATATAATAATGATAATGAAATTTTAACAATTACGCATAAAAAAAAAAAATTCATTATAAAAATGAAATGGACCTACCGGCGGATGGATACGTCCGACTCTCTGAGTGACCGGGTCCGTCGTGACGACCTCTATCCGGCAGCTCTCCCCCTTCCTGACGCTGGACACCACCAGGTCGTCCCGGGCCAGGTAGGTGGCCCTGCCGATGTCCACCACCACCTCCCTCTGCCGGACCACCAGCTGGGCCCCGCAGTCACGTGACGTCAGCAGCAGGATGCACGTCACAGCCGCCAGAGCGGCAAGTTTGGCCAGGTTGACGCTCGACGCCATCACGATCCACCGGATGTGACGTAGGCGAGAGCAGGCTGTGTGAACCGGAACGGTTAGATTCGGCCGGCCGGAACTGGATGAATCCAGTGGGGGGTTATGGCGTGTCCCATCGGTAGGAGCTATCCATAGTGAGGGGCGGGGCTGGGCGGAGGTGACGTCATTCGACCGGAAGTGGATGACAGTGATGGTCGTATGTGAGGTGGATGGAGACAGAGGCTACGTCCTAGCTAGCATCTGAAAAAGAGGTACAGAGGCATGGTCGCTTTATAACGAAATCAAGTACACTCATAATTATAACAGTTATGTAAAGGGCAGAGGCGTAGCGAGGGGGGGGGGGGGGGGGGGTGGGGGGTGCGGACCGCACCGGGTGACACCATTTAGGGGGTGACACCAAGGCAAAAAAGAGCAAAATAGATAGAGAAAAACTTGAGGGTGCAAGTTTAATGGGGGGGGGGGGTGCAAATCGAAAGTTTGATGGGGGAGGGGTGCAAATCGACGAAAATTTGAAAGTTTGTCCCCGGGAATGGTCACTACGCCACTGGGGGGTGACACCATTAAGTGCCGCACCGGGTGACACCCGACCTCGCTACGCCCCTGGTAAAGGGTCATTAAAATAGTTTTTTTTAAAGCTGAGGTAATTAATAACCGTGTGAGGTAACTTCATTGATTACTTTTATCAAGTCAAGGTCAATGATCGTTGTAAAAATTGCACGATTCTTTTTTAAATGTCAAGGTCACTGAATATTTATTTCTTTATTTGAACAAACCTGTAAATAATCTAATCCGACTTATCTACGCCGTTAATGATATTAGCACTTTAAAAGGTAATTTCTACTTAGATTATAAAAGGTCAGATATACTTTTTTAGTTGATTAAGCTCATTATAATAATTAGCTCGTACTTTTAACAAACAAATATAACTCATACATATTAAAAGTCTTGTCTAAAGGATTGCTAATTGTAATTGGAATAAATCATTTTTTAAAAAAAAATAATGGCGTCTTTTTAAAGAACATGTATCACGTGTATAAAATATCATAAAAAAGAAATAAAGTAAAAACCCATGAAAGTCCTTAGATTCATTAGCATATCTATATACTACTAAAACTCAACTTTGTTTACATGTTTGAATATTTATTTGTTTGCCTGATCGACTATTGTGATATGTTCGACTCTATCTGGAAAGCTGTAAAATAGTATGCAGGTAGAGAATAATTTTTTAATGCAGACAGACTGTTGATCACAAATTTATTTAAAGACGTTAATTAATTTATTGATTTATTCATAGTTATATTAACCGTATTTTTTTAAAAATGTTAATACTTTGAATAAACTTTGTGGGGATAGTGACGTCCCTTGATGTGTTTACATTTTTGGTACAATAAAAATGGCGGACCCCATCATAGACTTTGTGGCCCGTTCAAAAGTTTAACGCGTTACAAAGCTAATTTTCTGCCGGCTATAACTTAAACAATACGTCCTCTTGCTGTATTTATTACGTTCCAACACTTATATCAATTTTCAACTGTCTTTTTCATTTAGTTTTACGATAAATTTCTCTAGATCTAAAGATCAGCTATCGAAGGAAATTTATGAATCTAGCCTAGATCTAGATCTAGATCTAGATCTAGCCTAGATGTAGGTCACTAGATTCAATGTAAATTCTACATCTAGAATCTATTTCAGGCCTTAATTATTTTATATAAATCTTTGTTTGGCTTATTTAAGATAAAATTTAATTTGAAAGTTAGTACTACTAGACTTATTTTTAGATCTAGATCTAGAATCTATACGCGTAAATCAAGTTGCATAAGGAGACACATAGTATAGTATAAAAATTCACTTGTGACGTCACGAGTAAATAGCTAAAATGGTAGCGTAGTCAGCTCTCATGCAGGAGGAACGGGTTCTAGACCAATATGTCAATGAAATTTTTTTTTTCAATTTTTTTTTAGATGTGAATGATAACGTTGCCTATCTGAACTTGGCAAGATACAGGGCAGGTGAAGTAGAGTTCATCTGTTTCTTTGTCCTAAGCATATGAAAGGATAGTGTGGTCAGATACATGCTCGGCTGGAATTGTTTTTTAAACGATAAAAACATGTTGTCTGAGACTTGGCAGGACACTGGGCAGGTGAAGTAGAGTTGAGTAGGTCACCTGTGACGTCAGTTTATGAAGGGATAGTCCGAAATCGGTGTTTTCGGTGTTTTTAAAAGATCATATATTTGAATGTGGGGTCTGTTTTTTGTGACGATAAGTGACACTGCAGTAGCGTACCGAGGAGGGGGGGGGGGGGACGGTAGGGGAGGGGAGGCGGGGGGTGGGGAGGGGAGGCGGGGGGGGGGGGGAAGAGGAGGCGGGGGTGGGGAGGTGGAGGGGGAAGGGGGGGGGGACATATGTTGGGGCGCCAAAATGGTTTGGAAAAATAAATTGATAGGTTGAGGGGGGTTCAAATCGAAAGTTTGAGTGGGGGGGGGGGAATTGCACATCAAAAGTTTGAGGGGGGGGTTCAAATCGAAAACTTTGTCCCCGGGCGCCGGGAAGGGTCGCTATGCCTCTGAGTGACAGACGTGATGTTTTTTGATGGATGACCCCCGAAACCCACAGTTATCCAACGGATGACGGGTATTCTAGTATTATATAAAAATGAAAGCAAAAACCAATTGTTCGCTTAACTTTGTACCGACAACATCAAAACTCGAATTACGGAAAACAAAGTTGTGGCTAATGTTTTTCCTAAAGAAGGAGTGAGGTCAAGGTGACATTAGCTATGTTAAAAAAATATAAATCCAGAATAGTTGTGTTTTCCTCAGGACGAATTAAGGAAGTATCAAGGGAAACTTCATCAAAGGCTTTCGTCAAAGACCGAAATCCTCAAACTGTTACTCGCTAAGCTGACGTAATGACACCCGCCCCAAACAAGTCAGAATTACGGGGAGTAATCATGGGAGACAATTTAAGCTAAACAATGGGTTAAAAGAGCTGCAAAGACCGCAAGCAGGTTGGGTTTTTCTTAAAAGGAAGCTGCGCTCATACATTATTTAAAAAGAAAAATGAAATCTTTTGATATTGGCCACATAATTTTCTTTTGTGGTTGAGAAGTTGTAATATAATCCGTTTTTTTTATTAGGTAGTTTTAACAAACCTACCAGCATTATCAAAAGCATAATGTATTATTTTAGACAGACGTAGTAAAGATCATTTGTTTTTGTTGCATAGACTTATAAAAGAAGATTTCGAGTCACATACACTTTCCTCGACTGCTGTCAGGTACCCATCAGAGCTGAGCATACTCAAGTTCGTCATACAGACTCAAATTTTGAGGGCCGAACTTAAGACTTTAGGTTAGTAAGTTAGCAGTCGTACGCTCAAAACCTAAAATCTCGAGTTCGAATCCGGGTTTAAGTCAGTAGTCCGCCGCTGAATCCATCTGATGAGGTACCTAACTCACGTTAGGGAAAGTAAAGACGTCTGGGCATAGTGCTGACCACACAATCCCTTCAAATGCCGAGGTTACAGAAACAGCTGAACTCTACTTCACTTGCCACGTAGACCGTCAGGTTTGGAAGGGAAACTTTACTTCTACTTTACTTGCACTCAGGTTTGGAAGGGGAACTTTACTTCTACTTTACTTGCACTCAGGTTTGGAAGGGAAACTTTACTTCTACTTTACTTGCACTCAGGTTTGGAAGGGAAACTTTACTTCTACTTTACTTGCACTCAGGTTTGGAAGGGAAACTTTACTTCTACTTTACTTGCACTCAGGTTTGGAAGGGAAACTTTACTTCTACTTTACTTGCACTCAGGTTTGGAAGGGGAACTTTACTTCTACTTTACTTGCACTCAGGTTTGGAAGGGAAACTTTACTTCTACTTTACTTGCACTCAGGTTTGGAAGGGAAACTTTACTTCTACTTTACTTGCACTCAGGTTTGGAAGGGAAACTTTACTTCTACTTTACTTGCACTCAGGTTTGGAAGGGAAACTTTACTTCTACTTTACTTGCACTCAGGTTTGGAAGGGGAACTTTACTTCTACTTTACTTGCACTCAGGTTTGGAAGGGGAACTTTACTTCTACTTTACTTGCACTCAGGTTTGGAAGGGGAACTTTACTTCTACTTTACTTTACTTACACTCAGCCTCGCCGTCCCATATATATACGTATTATAGTTATAATTTATTGACACATACCAACATATATAGTTCACATTATACATACATTATCAAAGTAGTAACAGATAGATCGATTTCTGGAACATTCTAGTACCTGTCTAGCACTGAGGTGAATTTGAGCATGTTACGTACACGTGCCCCTTAAAAAGTATAACATAACTTTTTTATTTTATATATATATATATATATATATATATATATATATATATATATATATATATATATATATATATATATATTCAATCTTTTTAACATAACTTAACAGATGGAACTTAGTGAGTAGAAAGAAAACAAAATATTGAAATTTTTTTTTAATAACAAGCTGCAATAATAAAATTAACGGAGGCGCTTCAACTCTCAAATTTTATGCTTAACCGGACCATATGCTCGGCTAACATCAACACGAACAGATGCCGGCCGAGCTTTCGCCAGACGCGTTACATACAAACACAAACACGGCACTGCAAACATCAAGACAAAATATGGCTGAAGCATCCGCCATTCACCACAACATACAGTGCTTCCCAAATTTGTGTTTTCTAAACCCCTTTATATCGAAACAATGCACAAAATATGGCTGAAACATTCGCCTTTCATCACAAAATACAGTGGTTCCCAAATGTGTGTTTCCTATACCCCGATATATCGAAACTATGCACAAAATATGGCAGAAACATTCGCTTTTAACCACAACATACAGTCGTTCCCAAATTTGTATTTTCTATACCCCAATATATCGAAACTATGCACAAAATATGGCAGAAACATTCGCTTTTAACCACAACATACAGTCGTTCCCAAATTTGTATTTTCTATACCCCAATATATCGAAACTATGCACAAAATATGGCAGAAACATTCGCTTTTAACCACAACATACAGTCGTTCCCAAATTTGTATTTTCTATACCCCAATATATCGAAACTATGCACAAAATATGGCAGAAGCGTCCGCCGTTTACCACAACATACAGTGGTTCTCAAATTTGAGTTTCCTATATCCCGATGTAATACGCACACGGCACTGTAAACATCAGACAAAATAGTGCAGAAATATTCGC